TAGTCCTAGCTACTTGGATGGCTGAGGCAAGAGAATCACTTGAGCCCAGGAGTTTGAGGTTGCTGTGAGCTGTGACATCAAGGCACTCTACAGACATAGTGAGACTCTGTCTCAAAAAAAAAAAAAAACCAAAAAAGGTGAGGCTAAGAAATGAAGATTATTGGAGACTGGAATTTTGTTTTTAGAAGGGAGTCTTGCTCTATTCCTGGAGCTAGAGTACAGTGGTGACATCACAGCTCACTGAAACGTCACACTTGGACTCAAGTGATCTTCCCACCTCAGCTTCCCTGGTGCCCGGCTTCAAGAGCCAAATTTTATTTTGACACTTCAGATATCTCCAAATAGATACATCTCAGAGATGCATACAGACTGCCCAAACTTTCTTGTTCTAAGCCTACAATTAATACACATATTTAGACATGGACATGCAGTTGGTCTAGACTAGGTAAGCTAAAGCAATAGATAACGGATGGTACTACCTTTACCAGTTCCAAGTCAAAAAATTATTCTTTTGTTGTTTGATTCCTTACAGGTTGCTTGATGACTCAACACCTGTGTTAAAGGGGAAGGCCTAAAATCTAAAAGTCTGGAAGGCTTCCTAAAAAAATTTAGGAGGAAGGAGAGTATTTTTTGAGAAATGAATATTAAATTTAAGATTTCAGGATATAATTCACTACTGCCAATCTATACTATATGTCAGGCACTTTGTATGGATTATTCACTATATTTTCTTCCTTTTTTTTTTTTTTGACAGAGTTTTGCTCTGTTGCCCTTGGTGAATGCCTTGGAGTCATAGCTCACAGCAACCTCAAACTCTTGAGCTCAAGTGATCCTCTTGCCTCAGCCTCCCCACTAGCTGGGACTAGGCACCCGCCACAATGCCAGGCTAGTTTTTCTGTTTTTAGGAGAGACAGGTCTAGCTCTTGCTCAGGCTGGTCTCAAACTCCTGAGCTTAGACGATCCACTGGCCTCTGCCTCCTAGAGTGCTAGGCTCACTATATTTTCTTAATACCTATTAGATATTAATCTGTACCTCACAGTTTAAGTACCAAAGCCTTAGATTAAGTAGCTTGCACGAGGGGACAGGCCTAACAAGGGGTAGAGTTGACATCTGGAATCAGGCTGTCTCGAAATTTGGCCCACTGGCCACAAAACTGAAAGAACTTTAAAAAAAAAAGTTAACTTTTAAGAGCTTTTCTGAATCAGTGTTGCAAATAATAAAATGGCTCACAGACCATTTTACTATAGTACTACTGTTCCAGGACGAAAATAGTATTCTGATCACTTTGCTACCCAAGGAGAGAACAGAATTAAAATATGGCTGGGAGGTGAGCTGACATTTTGCACGAGGTTTGTTTGAATTTGCCAAAGGTCAAGGGCACGCACCTCAAATAAGGATGAGAAAGGGCCTTACTAAGGTGAGCATTCTCAACAGTTCAACGGCTTTGAGGCGGGCTGGCGAGTTGCGTTTTGGAGAGGGAAGTTCCAAAAGCTCCTTTTGGCTTTTGGAGGGCAGAGTCCTGTCTCAGCTGACAGGCCCCAGCTGCCCCATCCTGCAACGGGACTTTAAGGGCAGGGATAACAGTAAATAACTCTCCCAATACCCCACTTCACTAAACGTACGGCGGCGGGCAGGGGAGGCCCCACGCCCTGAGGCGGCGCCGGGTCCTTAGCCTCCAGCCCGCCAGGAAGATGCGGCTCAGCTGCGCCCGGGCCCCGCGGCGTCTGCAGCTACGCAGGTCCACGGGGGCTGCGGGAGGCGGGCCCGAGGGGCGGGGCCTGCGGCTGCGGGGGCGGGGCCGCCGGCTGCTCGTTTTTCCCCTTAAACAAGACTCAGATGCAAATTGTATTTTATGCATTGAGATGAGGCTAAGAGGGCAGCACACGTAGCTCTGTGGGTAGCGTGCCGGCCACATATACCAAGACTGGCGGGTTCGAACCCAGCCCAAGCCAAATAAAAACAATGATAACTGCAACAAAAAAATAGCTGG